TGAGTGGATCTTGAGCCAGAAGTAGACAAAGTAGAAGCAGAAACACTTAAATCAATGACAGTGGAAATGCAGGCAATTTATAGAATGAGAAATTGAATTATCGATGATGTGGTGCCAAGTTACAATACCTCGGGAGAATGCATAGACAGACAACAGTTTATGTACACTCAAGTTCTGATTTCATAAACACCAATGCAACTTACCCGTGTACAGAAATAGAGGGAAGGATGAACTGTGTTGGAACCAGAGAGCATGCAATATATGGTAAATAAATGCTGACGAATCGGTCTTTTGAGATCGGGTGCCTCCTCAGGCCGATATTGATCGGTAGAGGCGGCCGATATCATGCGGTTGCTTGTAATCACTAGAGTGGTCGAAGAGAGCCTTCGAAGTTTTCGCTTGCCGCTCATACTTCCCATCCCGCCGGCAGAACTCGCATCACTAGCTGGTGCCAAAAGAAGCCTGACACCGTAGAAAGCCTGCATCCGGTGGTCAGGGTCGATTTCCTCCACATCCGACTTCTTGTTTGGACGTCGCTTCTTGTCGAAGGTTGGGACTGCGGCATCGAGAGGCAGTCTGGAGCCAGCGGCAACTGCTGCTGACGCTGCTGCAGGCATTTGTGAGTTCTTTGCAACTTTCATTTAGGTAAGTCCAAAAATATAGGTTACCTGCATATCTTAAAATACGGAGTGAGACTGAATTCAAGCGTTGGTATCGTGGCTGACTGCATCAATGTGCGCAGGATGATTCATCTCACTCGAAGCCGATGGCCTCTATGACCTTGAAGCAAGTGCTATACAGACAATGTGGCAAATAGCTATGGGCCCGATTGCATCAACTTCCAACTGACATTTGAGCTGGGTCATCACGGAATTATTTCAATAAAAGGTGCAGGAGTCTAATGTTTCAAAACTGACGGATCAGACTGAAGTAAACATCGTTGCAGGCGCTAAAGTTGGGCTGAAGTGGCTTTTGAGGTGGTGGGAGGCAATCAAAGCCACTGTGGTGTCACTTAGTTCTACATACTGCCGATCATTCCAGCCAGCACTCATTCCACTGTCCTGATGGCCATGGTTTGATCATCTTCACGAAGAACAGTCTGTAGTGGCGTGACAGCCATCTCGCGTGAGTGATGCGTGCACGAGGGCCCGAGTGCACCAATGACTCACCCCTTTTCTTATTGGCCTCTGTCAGCAGTCGCCTGTTACGCACGCGTACTCATGCGCACACAAAGCCACTTGCAAGGTGTCACTAATAAACGGTCGTGTTCTCTGTCACCTCCTTTTCCCCTATCCTTGGGCAGTTACGGGCTGT